TTGCTTTGGGTAAGGGTTGTTAGAGAAGGCTTTGTGATAAAGAGGTTTGAGCAGGACAGTGAAGGAAATAGGTGGTAAATCTAGTTGAAGCAGTGCGTTTTGTGGAAACAAGCAGGAGATAAAACTTGTATAAAGTCAGTGCCAGAAGGCATTAGTTATGACTGCTAGGCTACATTGCATGGTACAGTTAAAATGTTGAGCCTTGGTATGGGTAGCTATAAGTGGCAGGATGATGATGTTTGGATAAAGAGAACAAAGGCCAGGAGATAAGCAGTAATAGAAAGGATTGAGGTTAAAGACTTTGAAGGGGGAAATGATAGATAGTGGTATGTTGTGGGTTTTAAACGAGTTTTTACCAGTGATTTAAGTGAGGGTATAGTTGGATTATCCTTGAAATGCTGGGTTACTTGAGTCTGAGTGGAGTGATACATGCCGTGTATGACAAAATCAGGATTTGAAAAGACTTTGATGGACAGATAGTTTACACCAGTAAGGTGGAATTGAATGGGGACACGAGTCAAGTGCTGTACACAAGTACTATCAGATGTAAGCTATAGTGTAAGTCAGCACTGTGGTGTAGTTGCCAGATAAGCTAAGGTTATGTAGTCCATCATAACTGTTACAGAGGCATGGTGTCTAGAAATGGAAGGTCAGTAATAGTCTCAGCTTATTCTAAACTCCTCAGTCTGCATCTACAATATTGTTATGGATGTCACTATTTGGTAACACTATAGGAGGCACTTTAGTTTGCTAGTGCCAGGGAGGGAATGATCAGCCAAGCATATAGAGAACAATCGAGTCATGAGCATTTTGTGCAGATAAATAAGTGCTGTCATTTGGAGGAGGAAATACAATTATTGTAGAATTTTTAGGGAAGTAAATTTTGGCTTAATGTACAGAAGACTTTGTAATTAAGTGTTTAAAAATAAAGTGGGCAGGCATGGCAGGTAATGGCTTTGCTGCTACAAGAAGAGTTAGGGGTGAGCAACCACTTCTGTATCAAATTCTAAATCTGAGATTGCTAAGTTTCTGGGGATTTGGTGACCAGCTGTGAGGGAAGGAGAAAAAGTGACTTGTTATTTTGTTTAGAGGACAGATGTTCCAAACTGTACAACTCCTGTTTTGGTGTTTGAAATACTGAAACTGCGTTGATTAATACTCAGAACTTACCTTTATTTTATTTGGTCATCTCATCGTGGTACTGAATCTGAAAGTTCTAAAACAACTTTTCTTTTTTTTTTTTTAAGATTTTATTCATTTTTAGAGAGAGGGAAGGGAGGTGGGAGAATGAGAAACATCCATGTGGAAGAGAAGCATTGATCGATTGCCTCTCACATGCCTCCAACCAGGGACCTGCAACCCAGGCATATGCCCTGACCAGGAATAGGACCAGCAACCTCTTACTTTGTAGGACAGTGCCCAACCAACTAAGCCACACTGGTCATGGCCTCACTACTTCTTCTTCTTTTTTTTTTTTTTTAAAGATTTTTATTTATTTTTAGAGAGGGGTAGGGCGGGAGAAAGGGAGAGAAACATGGATATATGAGAGAAAAATGGTTCAGTTGCCTCTATTCTGACCCCTGCAGGGGACCTGGCCTGCCACTCAACGCGTGTGCCCTGACCAGGAATTGAACTGGTGACCTTAATGATTTGTGGTCACACCAGTCAGGGCAAGATCTCACTTTTTAGAAACTTTGAAACCATTGTAGTGCCCTGATATACTACCACTTGAGAATTAGGGTTTATCAGCAAATTAGAATCTTTTGTAAGGTTCAGAACAGTTTTTGTTACGACCTTCTACCATCTAACTCACTGTCACCCATCTGCTGAAATGTGAAGATTATTTTAAATTTAAGATGAAAGATTGGTTTTGTCCTGGCCATGTTGTTCAGTTGCTTACAGGGTCATTCCATACACCAAGTTGGCATGTTTGATCTCTGGTCAGGGCACATATAAGAATCAACCTGTGAATGCATAACTAAGTGGAACAACCAATCAATGTTTCTCTCTTCTAAAATAAACCCAGCAATAAAAAAATTTAGAGATGATAGATTGGTCCTAAAAAATATTGAGCCCTGGAGGGTGTGGCTCAGTTGGTTGGAGTATCATCCAGTAACTGAAAGGTTGTGGGTTTGATCTCCAGTCCAGGTGTGAATGGGAGGCAACCAGTCACTGTTTCTCTCTCACATTAGTGTTTCTGCCTTCCTCTCTTTAAAAGCAATAAAAAAATGTCCTCAAGTTAGGATTTAGAAAAAAAGGAAAAAGAAAGTTGAGTACTTTGTGTGTGGGGCGGGGGGAAAGCCAGCTTGCTTAATCTGTATATGGGAGATGGGGCATTGCTTAAAGAGATGTTTATTTCTAGGTACTTTTGTTTTATTTGAATGATAGGCTCAGAGGGTCTTCTTTGCTCCTTTATTAATGATTTTTCATTGGTGAGCCAGTTTACTTTCTGTGGATTAGCTATGATTTCAAGTTTTTTTAAAAGTAAAATAATATGAAGAGTTAGAGATTACTTTATAATCCTGCTAAATCTCCATGTCATTTATATTGTTTGGAGAACACAGCCATTCTAGGTGTATGTTCTACCTACCCTGCTTTGATTAGCCATATAGCAAGGCTAGTGATAATGTGTTAGAAGGGAAGAACTTTTATTGTCAATAATAGTGGACCTATTCATTACTTCTTCGAAGCAGCATTGTTAATGTTGGTGGAAGTGGTATAAGCAATAATATAAAAACTTTACAACTTTTTTTAAAACAAGTATTGCACTAAACTCTTAGAATGTTTGGGGAATAAAAATATAAAAAAGGGAAAGTTACATAAAACCCTGTCATCTTCAAAATAACTCCTCTTTCTTCCTTTAAACTTTGTATTTCCTTCCATCCTTTTTTTTTTGATAACTTAATGTTTTTGTCAGCTCCTATAGAGTAAATGACCAAAGCGAAAGCCACTGATTTGTCACTAATCTATTTTGATGCTAGATCATAAAAACTTAGGGAATGTACATATCTTAATTTATTGTGTTTGGTTAACTTGTGAAATAGTATATTGTAGTCTACTTATCTATAATCTCTTGCATGATGGATTCAGCCATAGTTCTAGTATTTTCAGTTAACCTGTATATTTCTAGTTTTAAGAGGTTTTTGGTCTAACTAGAATATAAGTGCTATGAGAAAACAGTCTGTGGAATGATTTTTCATCCCTGTAGAACAGATAATGCTTTGTTATGATGTGCTGTCCTGTGAATTACAGTATGTTCTGTAACATTTCTGGCCTTAACCTGCCTACTAAATACCAGCAACAAGCTTCCCACCCCTAGGTGACAACCAAAAATGTCTCTAGACATTGTCAAATGTCCCTTGGGGAGCAAAATCCCTCCTGTTGAAAACTGTTGGTCTGTGTTAACATAGAAGGGTGGTGGTGTTGACATTTATAGGATTTAGGGATTGTAGACTATTCTTATGGTTGAGCTCAATCCACAAGTATGTAGGGGAGTTTGGATGGCGGAAGTTTCAGGAGAAGCATTTTATTCAAATGCTTAGCAGGATGAAAACTGTTGGAGACATCATGTAAATAGCTAAGATTATAGTGGAGAAAAAGATTTTAGGATGGATTTAATATAACAAAAGTATTTGAACTTTATCTTTTTGGTAATAGGAAACCACTGAAAGTCTTTTTTCAATAGGCAAAAATTGTGATCATTAATTTAAAAAGAAGTTTATGGTATAATGTAGAGAATAGAGAATCCTGGGGTCATAATGACCAGAGACTTGAGTAGAGTGAACTGAATAGGTTGGGTAGGAAGTATAGCTGTTCTGAACTGGAGGAAGGGTTTTTGAGCTTTATGTTAAATTTTGAATATCTGGAGATAGAGATGGACAGGGGGAGATCAGTTTTCTGACTTTCAATGTATGTTTTCTTCTATGTACCTGTTATGGGAATAATAGAGAGAGAAAGGTGGTTTTCTGCCAGTTTTTGCCACAAGGCTGGTCTGTAAGTTGTATGGAAATTCATGTTGATTCTCTAGTTTGTATAGCTTCACTTGTATGTACATTTAAGGTAGATTTTTCAGGCCAGGTGTGGGGTGATTAGTCACTAACTATTGCTGCTGCCGCCACCATTATTACTACTTTGAAATTTTGAAGTGGTTTTAACTGTATAATATGTATACTTACTTTTCCAGATAACGTGAATACTTTTGAACTTTGGTTTGTAAATAATACTCATTGATAGATTTGTCACTTTGACAGATTGGGTTTTGCCTCTACAATATCTCACCCTTCTATGGGATATGGTTACTTGAAGAATAAGTTTACTTTTTAATGTAGTTTTATAGTTACATTTTTACTATAGTCTTGTTTTTCTCCACCTTTTTGCAGGCATAATGAAATTTAAATGGGGTAAAGTAGAGGGATTCAGACTAATAAGATTCTCCCTTTTAGACTTAAGTATATGAATCTGAAAATTGTTATTGTAACTTTGTGTAAGAGATTAGGGAGAGATGAAAAAATAAATGTAGATCCTGGTATTTTAATCAGTTTCCTTTGCATTAGGACAAAGGGTTGGCAGGATGGATTTAAGTAGAAATTAAGGTATTTTGGTTTTGCAAGATGACGCCCAACCCACTAAGCCACACCAGTCTTAAGGTATTTTGGAGTCAACTATTTTGTATTTAAGCTGCTACAGACCTGATTCCTAGTTAAACAAGTTTCCTAAATTTCAAGGTCTTAACCATTTTTTGCACTAACTTAATTCATAAACTTGTTTAGTGTGTTTTGTTACACTAAACAATCTTCCTGTCTGTCTCAGATTACAATATCCTTGTATAGTGTCTTCATGCTGACTTTTTTTGAAAGGATAAATTCTTGAGAAACAGTGTTGAAATTTTAATTTGTTTAAAAGATTATGTGTTTGTGTATGGGATATGCATATCTTTCTCTAATAAGCACTTAGGATATTGTAAGTATTTTGAAAACATGGTGTACATTTTCCCCTTTCAGTATAATAATCATGAAATTCGTTCTGGAAAACACATTGGTGTCTGCATCTCGGTTGCCAACAATAGGCTTTTTGTGGGCTCTATTCCTAAGAGTAAAACCAAGGAACAGATTCTTGAAGAATTTAGCAAAGTAACAGGTAAGTTGGATTTATTTGGAAGGAAGTGCAACTTTTAACACTGAAGGTAATTGCGTACTTCTGTGTGACAAGCACTGTTTTAAACACTACATTTATCGACTCATTGTATTCTCACTACAATCATATGAGATAAGGAAAACAGGCACAAAAGGTTTGGGGGAAGTAACTTGCTGAATGTTACGTAGTTAGTAAGGAATGCAACTGGGATTTGAACTCAGTCTGCAGAATCATTGTTGTGCATCGCTGTTTTGGAATATTGCATTTCTTTGTATGCATTTCTATCTAGGTGGTAGTTGACATCCTTAATAGGATTGTTTGATGTGTGTGTGTAATGGTTTGATTTTTTTTCCCACATAGTCACTATGGTGCAATTTCTTTGAACTGTAAAGCATTTTATAACAGTTTTCAAATGACTGCTTTTATTAAAAAATTATTTTTTTTTTGCCTAGAATGTTTTAACAAATTATCAGCCTATCATTAGTATTAAGGAACTTTGGAAATTCTTATATAATAACTAATATATTCTGTTTCATTTTAAATAAAGCTAATCAATATCTGAGGCTAGAAAAGTGTCATTTAAAAAGTTTTTAGTGTTTACTTGCGTAATAAGAAAACTGTCTAACCATATCTGACCTATACTGTCATTTTACTAAAGCAGCCATGTAAAGATTTTATGTCTCTCATTACTGGAAGCAGAATTGTCCTTAGATCTAATCAAAAAGAATATACAGTTTTTTCTGTGTTGGGAACATTTGGAAAGTGTTCTGGAAAGGTAAATTATCTGTTGAGTCCCCTGTAATGATAAGTGATTATTTATGTTGATGTTCAAGTATTAGAAAATCAATCCTTTGATATACTTGTTCTTGCTTGTTATTTTATCTAATTTTTCTGGAATGATTGCTTACTTTCAGAGGGTCTTACAGACGTCATTTTGTACCACCAACCAGACGACAAGAAAAAAAACAGAGGTTTTTGCTTTCTTGAATATGAAGATCATAAAACAGCTGCTCAGGCAAGGCGTAGGTTAATGAGTGGTAAAGTCAAGGTCTGGGGAAATGTTGGAACTGTTGAATGGGCTGATCCTATAGAAGATCCTGATCCTGAGGTTATGGCAAAGGTAATGGGAGTCAAGTTAAATTTTTTAAGGGGTGGATAGGGGAAGGGGAAGATTTTAGCGGGGGGGGGGGGGGAGAAATTATAAAACGATTTATACTTTTTTATACCATACAAAAAAGTGGTACTTTTTTAAACCATATTTTTGAAAGTGAAAAGTGTACTTTATTAAGGCCACACAACCAGAAATGGTACCATGGAATAAAATCTGCACACAGTAGCGCATGAAAAGTGATTATAGAAATTTATTCATGGACATTTGGCCATAATTGTGTAGCTGTCACATTCATGATGAAGTAGTTAGCTTACATGCTGTGGAGGTGGTTTACTGCCAATTTTTGTGTGGATTCTTAGATCAGTTTCTTTGAGTTTTTGAGAATGGCGCCATTAGCTTACATTTTTATGTTAAACGTCCTACTCCTAAAAATAGTGAATGTACTGGCCTCAGCAGAGCTGCTGCAGTTACAAGGTTTATCTATTATTAGTTATCCTGCTTCAGCAGTCAGTTGAGACATCCTATGAGAACAAACATCTCGCGTCAATACTCAGTAATGCAGTTTGCAGTTATTTTACCCTTTGTCTTTTAAGAATCTCCCTTAATGATTATGGGCTAGCAAGTACAGTTAGTTCACTTAAATCAAGAGATGAGTGAAACGGGTGTCTACATGGTAACTTTTAAAGGGTAATTTTAAAAAAATTTTTAGAGGAGGGAAGGAGGGAGAGAGAGAAACAATGTGTGAGAGAAACGTAAATGGATCGCATGCCTCTTGCAAGCCTCCAACTGGGGGCCTGGCCTGCAACCCAGGCATAAGCCCTGCCCGAGAACTGAACCGATGACCTTTGGGTTGGTGGGCCAGTGCCCAGTCCACTGAGCCACACCAGCTAGGGGAGGATAAGTGGTCTTGAGAATGGCTGCTTAGGATTCTTTTTTATTCTTTTTTCCCTCTGGCCTTTTACGTTCTAATTGGAGTAGCACTTTAGATGAAGAAATTTGGATCCTTTTTTGAGTGTTCTAGGAGCAAGTGATAATGTTCCTTAGCTGAAAAGGTCATACCTTGTAATTGTACTTTGAGGAGCTTTCAGCATTGAAAGAATTTATCTTAATAGTTTGAACACTCTCTCTCCCCTTAGCTAAGATTTTAAAAGCAGGTCCTAACTAGTTTTGACCACCTGTGTTAACTTAAATGTTCAATAGCTATCTTAGAGGGGTGACATTTACATTGTTAGTAAATAACCACCTCCATTTTGGTTGCAAAATAATTATTTAATAACTATTAGGCCTGTGGGGTTTTTCTGAGCAGAAAGTAGAAGTTACTATGTATCCCCCGTCCGCACACATGCAGCCTCCCCCCACTATCATCACTCACATCAGATTTATACATTTGTTACAATCAGTGAACCTGTATTGACAACGTTATTATAACTCAACGTCTGTAGTTTATGTTAGGATTCACTCTTGGTGGTGTACATTCTCTGTGTTTGACAAATGTATGACATGTATTTACCATTGCAGTATCATACAGAGTAGTTTAACTTAAGAATCTCCTTGATCTGCCTATTCATCCTTTCCTCTCTTCTAACCTCTGGCAATTATTTTTACCGTCCGTAGTTTTGCCTTTTCCCAAATGTCACATAGTTGGAATCATGCAGTATGTAGTTTTTTAAGCTCATCTTCTTTCAGTTATATGCATTTGTTTGTTTTCATGTCTTTTATGGCTTGATAGCTCATGTCTTTTAACACTGAATAATAATTCCATTGTCTGAATGTACCACAGTTTATCCATTCACCTACAAAAGGATATTTTTAGTTGTTTCCAGGTTTTCGCAATTAAGAGTAAAGCTGCTGTACACATACATGTGCACATTTTTCTATGGATGTATTTTCAGCTCATTTGCGTAAATAGCAAGGAGTGTAATATGGTTAGTTCTGTAAGTAGCTGCTCTTCAAATTGGCGTTCCTACCAGCAATGTTCCTGTTGCTCTGTATTCTCAGCAGCATTTGGTGATGTTAATGTTTTGAAATTTGATCATTCTAATAGGTGTGTGGTGGTATCTCACTGTTTTAATTCACAGTTTCCTAATGACATGATGTTGAGTATCTCATTATATGCCTATTGGTCATCTGTGTATCGTTTTTGTTGAGATACCTGTCCAGGTTTTTTGCCTATTAGATCCACTATCCACTTTCCTTGGTATTTACCCAAATGAATTGAAAATTTTGTCTATTTTTTTCCTGATGTGTTGTGACTAAAGTTAACTTTGCAGGATGGGGTGGTGGCATTTTGATAATTGAAACCTTTGGAAATAGTTTGTTTTTTCTTAAATTTCAGGTAAAAGTGCTGTTTGTACGCAATCTTGCCAATACTGTAACAGAAGAGATTTTAGAAAAGGCGTTTAGTCAGTTTGGGAAACTGGAACGAGTGAAGAAACTAAAAGATTATGCTTTCATTCATTTTGATGAACGAGATGGTGCTGTTAAGGTAAATAACTGAGGGAATTATAGGCATCAAAAGTGGACTAATCATTAATTTTAAAAAAGTTTTTTTTTAATTTATTTTTAGAGCAAGGGGAAGGGAGGGAGAGAAACATCGAACCATTGCCTCTTTCCTGCTCCTAACCAGGGACGAGGCCTGTAACCCAGGCATGTGCCCTCACCCGGAATATAACCGGTGACCTTTCGCTTTGCAGGACGATGCCCAACCAACAGAGCTACACTGGCCAGGGCTAAAGTGGGCTAATTATTTTTAGTCATCCTAGAATCAGAATTTTTTTTAAAAATTGAAGGAAACTCAGGTCAGGTAATCTACTCATACTAACCTTTATTGGCCTTAGCAAATTGTATACCTAAGTCAAAAACATAATTAGTTGAGCTGACTCTTTAAAAAAAACCCTAACCTATTTTATCTCATCTTTCAACATTAATGATAAATGATTTTTTAAAACTTTAAATCAATTATTTAAGTGAAAACTTGAAACAATTGTTCTAAAGTCCTCTTATTCATCAGTGTCTAATTTTTTAAGGCTATGGAAGAAATGAATGGCAAGGACTTGGAGGGAGAAAATATTGAAATCGTTTTTGCTAAGCCACCAGATCAGAAAAGGAAAGAAAGAAAAGCTCAGAGGCAAGCAGCAAAGAATCAAATGTAAGTGAAAGTGGTATAAATTTTAATGTTGGTGGATTAACTGGTAAATAACAGGTGTTGCTCAAAACCGGATTAATAAATCCATGACATATCTTTACCTTTTAAAGAAGACTTGAAAGCTTTGAGGCACAGAGAAATGCCAAGAATCTCAAGAAATGTTTATTGAGCTCTTGCTTTTGACCATAATGTGAAAATAATCATAATTCTAAATAGTTGGAATTCATATAACAAATGGAAATTGTTCCAGGTCCTTTCCTACTTCATTTTACAGAATGCGCTCCTGAATATTTGTTTTACGTATTGTCCAAAAGTCTTAATAGGTTTTGTTAAAGGGTGGAGAGTCTTTTCTCAGAGGTAGGCAATATTAAATCTTCAGTTATGATAAACTTTGCTTCCTTTGTACCAGAAAGAGGCTTCTTTACCAATATATTTTGGGGTGCCTATTGGCACCCCAAAGATTTCATATACTATGCATGGGTTTTGAAAAATGAAATGGGTATAGTTAAATAAGCAGACAACAGTTGTTGAGGTAAGAAAACAGTGTGTAATTGGTATTAATTGGATCTTTTTAGAACACCTACAAAGGAATATCTGCTCATAAAGACAATGAAAGAAACTTAGCTGCATGAGAAAGGAGCCTGCAGTTTTAAAGTATTGATTGCTAATTGATTTCTAAGGAGGAAAGGGAGTAATTGCTATTTGAAGTAACAGTAATCACTGTACTTAACTATATTAGGCCAGTGCTTTGTCCATTTCCCTATGTGGGATACAAAAGAGGTAGGAAGCTTCTACTTATGTGTATTTCATAACCAGGAAGTAAAGTCCTAGTTTATGTAGTTGGTTGGGCAGTTAGACAGATTGATAAACTCTGAGCCTTAGTCTTTAGTTTTAAAGGGGTTCAGATTAAGTTAATGTAAGATGCCTTATACCATTGTTACCTAAGTGATCTGTCTATGCTTGTTCTACAATTAAAGAAATATGTTGTTTATACTTGGGTAGTATAAAAGAAAAAAGACTACAAAGAGCTAGGTTTTGAAGGGGAAGCTAGTGTCCTATATCTCAAAACCCTGAGTATACTTCAGGCGGTGAAAATACTCATTTCCTTCAGAAGACAGTTAACTTATTATAGTTTATTGTAATTGTGGCAGAGAGTAAGTGTAGGAGATTATATAATATGTGATTACAGCAGTTAATAGTTGTGACTTGGTAGAGGGTGATACCAAATACAAGGTGGGGAATGTCAGTATGTTATTTGAAACAGGTCAGAAAAGATTGACTGCATGTGATGACTTGCACTTCAACTTGCTGCAGTCATTCACTGATTTTTCTTTTTTTAATTTGAAAAACTACAGTACATATCTATTTATTCCTCATTATGCTCCTTTGAGTTGAGTCCTCTATTACCCAGTTTGAGATGAGGAAACAGGCACAGAGGTAAACTTGCCTAAGGTCAGTCCACACAGCTAAATGGAGTTTTAAGCAAGGCACTCTGACCCCAGGATTTTCATTTTTATCCACTATACCAGGGTTTCTTATTCTGTACTACAATTTTGGACATTTTTGTGTAGGTTAATTTTTGGTTATGAGGGCTGTCTTGTGCATTATAGAATGTTGAGTAGCATCCCTGGCCTCTTCCCACTAGATGTCAGTAGTACCTCCCCCAAGTTGTGACAGCTAAAAATGTCTCTAGACCTTACCAA